CTTGTTTTTTGTTTGTATGTGTCTATATCTATATACATGTAAAATAAATGTTTAATATATTATTGAATATACACACACAGATATATTTCATTACACCAGGATGCCACTATCACACAAATGTTCTGCTTAATAGACATGTGTGTAAGTGTGCGTGTGCGTGTGCATAGACAGGTACAGGTAGGTGTCCCTAGTGAATATAAACTATCAAAAATTAGGAATCTGAATGTAAAACAGACAACAGGCACGTGTTCCTCCCCATCATGTTACACCTTCCTTTATTTCATTAAGTCAAGCCTTCCTCTCTCATCCTATCACGCCCAGTTATGTTCCTTAAAAATAGGAAGTCTAAGCTCTTCTCAGAGAAAACCAAAATCAAGCCCTGACTACTGGATTCACACTTCAGATTCAGATACGTCTAAACAGACATTTCATGTCAAAAACTCTGGAATTCTTAAGTATATAACCAGTCCTCCTCACCCCATTCTTCCATACTTTTCAGAAACATTGTTCAAACTACACCAAAACGTAATTTTAACTATATTTTAAAAAGCAATTTTTTTCTTGGACTAGACTGACAATATAAAGTGACACAGGTGGGAATCCTAGAACGTGCTTGGCTCCTTAATAACCCCAAAGAAAACATTTATTTTAGCCAAACAATTGTAACGTTTGTCTCTTTTTAGAAACATCTGCTGCCAAAATAAACATTTGCATTGGAAGAAGTGCTTTGGCTGTTAAGATGGTACCAAATAAAATGCTTATGTTCTGAAATAAATATTTTACTCAGAAAGCACACAGCAAAACAGACACATCCAAAGGGAGCAGAGGATGAATTAAAGATGCAAACTCAAACACCTATTCATTTTTAAAGTCTTTTTCAAAAGAACCTCAGTTTTTAATTCAGTTGTTATTTTGACTGAAAGGGGTAAGTTATTTTTAAGGTGAGCCATCTGAACTTCAGTTCTATTTAATTTGCCATGATAACTTCTAAAACAACAATTATACTCCGTACTATTGTTGCAAAGGTCTTCACAATACAGATATGTTTTTAAAAACTAAAAAAGTAATCTTTTCCCATTATAAAAGCACTCATGAACTTAAGTCTCTCACTCTGCCCTCTTTCCCTTCTCCTGGTTTTGTAATTCCAACAGGTATCAAGTTACACAAACATCTGCAATAAGATAAGGACAGTTAAGATATCAATTCAGTAACCCTTGATAACTCAGGAAAAATCTCAGGCCACATAATTGAAATCTGCTCGACACAAATAAATGTATCTTCGCTATGGTACATATTTCTTCTGGGTGTTATTTCTTTTACATGAAAAAATCTTTTTTAAAGCAAGTCAGCACAGGCCTATGTACACATTATAATCACAAAAGACAAGAAAAAAGAAATAAAACATTTGCTGACCCACGTCCCTGCTCCAGCAAAGGATATACTGGTGCCTAAGTTTAAAAAAACAAAATCTGGAGAACTCAGATTCTAATACCCTTAAAGATTATACATTCTTTGTGTGACTCTATATTAGATGAAATCAACCAGTGCACTCTGTTAACCATCCCCAGGTTTGAATTCCAGGAGCCTAGAGGCAGAACATTCTCCACAGAGGCATAGAAAATTCATTTCCCCTCTCAGCTCAATAGAAACCCAAGTAGACTAGTTTTTAGGGCACCGTGCAAAACTAATCTGTTTAGCCATGTATTTGCCTGATGATGTGAGAGAATCAGCACGTGAAAGACCACAAGTCTAGTTCCAGTTAATAAATACCAAAATGATGTGCTATTATCAGTCATGCTTCAAAGACCCAGGCATGAGTGTGTTTCAAAAATAAAATTATCACCATACAAATCAAGAATCACCAGGTTAATACTAAAATCAAACACTCAGTAGCCAGTTCCTCCTGACCCTCAGAGACAAAAAGTAAGCAGTGATACTATGCATGTTAAATTTCATGTAAGCCACTGCAGTTCTTTCTAACAGACTACTCATTTAAAATTCCTATCACAGGAGTGGAATGCCAGCCAAGAATCAAACTGTGACCCCTGAGCCAAAGACAACTTACCACTCAGCTGGTAAGTGGGCAACTCAATTTACAAACTTAAATTCCTGCATTTTAATCCTTTGCAGAAATATATGAGCAATATTAAATGAACTGGATTCAGCTCATTAGTGGTTCACAAACCAAGCACAGGAAGCTTTGGAGGCCATCCAAAGCAAATCATGCCTAGGTGGTGATGTCCACTCAATAAAAACTCGATGTCATCATTATCTTTCACTTTTTCCCTGAAGAACATTAGCAGCCACGACCACAACAATGCTCAGCTAGCTGCATTAACACTTGGAGAAGACGGACAGGACCAGCCGCCAATCACTATGCCAGCACCTTGTCTGTGGACCAAATTTACTTACCCAAAATTCACAAACAAAGCAACCAAATGAAAATTCCTCACCAAAGGACACAGAATAAAGCTAACAAAATAAATGTGCTCTAATAACCTTTACCAAAACCGTATTTCTTTTTCCTTTTCAAATCTACTAATTAGCCTACACCTAACTGATCACATGAACTTGGTAGTGTTGTATGTCCCCTTTAAACATGTTACATACACTCAAAAATGCATTAGCAGTTCTTAGCCTTTTAGATCTCAAAACAAGATACAATGTACTTCAAGGCTGTATTACAACTACATGAAAAGGTAAAAAAGCAGTAAAGATTATTTAGAACCCTCAATTGTGATTAACTTAATATGGAAGTTTGATGTTTTACAGCCAGGGCATTCAATTTCTTACCAGATACACTTGTCCCTTCATGGTCAGAAAGATTCGTGCTTAATTAGAATTAGGCACTTCTTCCGGGTAGCAGTAAAATACTTAATCTAAAATCTTAATTAAAATTTTGCTAAAATACTTGGTGGGTAATCTTTATCAATTTGTTCCTGCAAACAAATCCAAGAGTTACTGGATTTCAAAAATATGTATAAGAGCCATCAGGATTAAATAAAACCAAAAACCTAAGAAAACTGAGGTTATTCTGTGTAACTGTGTATGTCCTCTAGTTTTAGCTTTACCTATTTGGGAAGGAAAAAATGAAAAAAATATTCCTAGGTAGTCATCCCTCACACACCTCTACTGTTAGAGTCCCACTTCAGGAATGCAAAGTAAACCAGTGTCTTAAACTTCTAATGAGACTTTAACTCATTCAGAGGAAAAGGTAAAGGAGCATCCAGCAGCTTGCTATGAATAGCACCTTTTGAAATGACTTTCATATTTCACTTCAGGAAAGTATGGTGGAAAGGAAAGTGCAGAAACAGGGGGTAGTGGCATCAGCTTCCCCCACTAGTCCTGCTATTTCTCATTGCCTTTCTGTCTCTACTCTCTCCCTGTAGCCAGAGTATCATACAGAACTGTCAGCCCCCAAATGAAATCAGCTATAGCATGGAATGAGGGCGCTCAGCTGTAGCTGCCTCAGCCTTCTTTCCCTCAACTAAGGGAAAATTAGCTTTCAAACTAAAAAAAAAAGAGCGAGAAAGAGAGAGGAAAAAAAAATCACAACTTTAACCTTACTTTTCAATCATTTACAAATTATCTTTGTCTCATAATTAGCAGCCTCAACTAAAGATTTTTACTCTAGGCAGCAAAATATTACTGGAAGAAAGGAGTAATACTGAATAAAATTATGAGCAGTACTATGGCTGCTAGAATTCTGAGTGGCCAATCTTTAATAAACAAAGAGTGAGAACTTGCGACAATAACGAAGGCCATTTAAGGAACAAAAAGCTGGGAGTCAAAAGCTGAGTTCCTTTCATCTTTCCTCACAACCCCCTTGAAATAAAAACATCACCAAAGGATGAACTAACTAAGATAAAGAGGAAAGACAATTTTCAGTCTCTAGAAAGAAAAGGCTCAGATGCAACTTATTCATGAACTTTTACGACAGCAGTGGAGCATATGAAGTGGGATGTATCACTCTCCACACCCACTTTAGAGAGAACAAGCGTTCTACCCAATTTTTTTCCCCACAAATGATTTTTGGTCAAACGTAGGGAAGAACTTCCTGAGGAAGCACTGGAAGACTCTGGAATGGGTTACTGGCAACACTATGGAATGACCAATCTGGACAGCACCCAGGGCATCACCCGATGCACCGCCGGGTTAAAGCATGGAGTGGGAATTTACACAGAAGCCCTTCTGCTGTTCCTAGTAACTAAATACTCTAACAAGTCTGAATCTAATTTACTCTTTTCCAAGGCCAACATAACAAGGATATACTCTCCAGTACCGAAGAGACTCTAGGCTTACTATTGCTAGACGTAGAGAGTCTTTTAGGGTAACTACAACTACTTGATTCTAGACAAAAACGAGGAAAAGCACCGGATCTTTTTTAACAGCAAGAAAAGTCTTTTTTGTTTGTTTTAAGTAAAAACACAAAACCATCAAAACCTAAGAAAACTGATACACATCATATTCTCTTACATGAACTACAGAAATCTTTTTCAAAAGGTACAGAAGAAATAATATGTCAAGAAACAAAAGCAAAAATTAACTTTCTGGGAGACAAAAAAAATTTAAGTTGATGCCATCTTTATGAGAAAGATCTTTAAGTAACTTAAAACTTCACCTTAAGAAGTTTATTCATAGCTCAAAAACGGACACTGACATCAGAAATATTAGAAAGTCTAGTTCACTTTGGGACTTAGATCTATATAACTTGCTGCAAAATGATGACACGGCCCATCTTTCAAATATAGCTTATAACAGGCGTTCTACCAAACAGGATTTTTGTCCCCTTTGTGCTAAGAAGCTCACTTTTTCTTCTTAAAAAGAGAAAGGGGAAAAAAATTTTTACCTGTGATTATTTCAAGAAACTATGAAAATTAAAAGCAGAAAATCAGTGAAATGCCTCCTAATGCTCTCAAAACTCACCTTCAGTGGACAGTAAAAGATAAAGCAGAACTACAACCAATTATGGGGGAGAGCGGAGTGAAACCAGCACAAACCTGCTGCTGTGGGTACTGCATTCCTCCCATGGCCCCTGGGGTCCGACCCTGAATGCCGATGGGGTACCGCTGTGGGCCTGGGGGGCCGTAGGAGCCTCCCGGGTAAGGGCTGCTCTGCTGTGGCTGAGAATGAGGGTTGCTGCCCATCCCATACAGCTGAGGTCTCTTCATCACCATGGGATCCATTGGGCTGCCCTGTGGAGAAATTAAGGAAGAAGTAGACTTATTAAGTCATTATTACAAAGGCAGTAAGTTTGTTACGCTAATAAATACATTAAAAACACAAGTACCTTTACTTTTGAAAATATTGAAAACAATTATCTATCAAATAAAACCCAGAAGAGCATTAATTTAAAAACCTAGGTGGATACAAGACATTTAGTTTTGTTACTTTTAGCAATGTTTTAAAATTAAGAGGGATCCGGAGCAAACAATACAAGGAAAGATTTTGCATCTAAGCAGAGAGGAAACATTTGCATCTAAAATTCTACTCTGCAAATGGGAAAGGGGCATGATAGGTAATCTCACCCAGCTCCTTTTAACTTACCGAGTGGTTGGGAACCCTTTCTGACTTCAAAGTATTCTTAGAACAGCTACTTTATTTTAGAACTGAGTCTGCAAGTCCTGATCAAACATTAATGCATCCGAGTGCTCATTAGAAAGTGAAAGAGTAGATTTTAGATAATACAGAACGTCTAGGGTAAAAATTTTCAAAGATCACTAGTGTGCACGAATAAGCACCCAGACTGTGAGTCACAAGCCACCTTCCCTGTGTAAGGAAGCAAGTTACCAAACATAACCAGTTCAAAACCACACTGAGTTTTATTTTTGGCGTGGTGAGTCAGCCCATGGGCCTCGGGGCTGAGGCCATTCAGGAGGGTTCGAACCGGTGCCTCAGCCTGGGCTTTCACGCCCCGGGCGCTTCAAAGGAGCAAAGCGGTGGTGGGGGCAGTCCCTCGCGGCAGTGCAACAAAGGATCCTTCCTTCCTTCCTTCCAAAACCGTATATTCACGCCTACTGTGTGCCAGGCTCTATGTTCTCACTGAGTACAGGGGGACTCTCAGGAAGGCTTGGTGATTAGCACGGTACATGGGGAGAAGCCAAGTTCAAGGCAGGAAGGGGCACGGCGCGGAGTATCGCAAAGCAGAAGAAACAGCATAAAGCAAAAGCTCAAGGGAGACTAGCTGCCTGGCATGTATATGGTAACATGAGCAGTTTACATCCAAATGAAGCAGAGAAGCAGCAGCTGAAGCAGGCAGAAGCCAGAAGATGGGTGAGCCTTATATGTCATTTTAAGGGCTTCAGATTGTATCCTGGGGATAAACCATTGGGTGTTTAACAGAGAGCTATAGTCAGATCTGCCTTTTGGAAGGGCCGCTGTCTCTGCAGCTGCCTGGAGCCAGGGGGGGCTGCTGCAGCAGGCAGGTGAGCTGAGTCCTGGGCTGGTAGCAGTGGTGGGTGAAAGCGAGCCCACGTTTAAGTAAAAGGATGGAAACGCAGCACGATTTGGGAGGCCAACTGAGTGACAGAAGACAGGAGTCAAGGGTAGCTTACCAGATGGTAGGACACCAGGGGAGAGAGAGCATGCAGGGGCAGGAGCATTTCAGCCCTCTCCCCCGGGTGGGAGCCTTCACTATTCTGCACACTAAATGGGAGGCTCCTATAAGAAATCCAGGTGAATGTATCCAGAAGGAAGAGTCACCATTGCGTCTCCAGCTTGGGGAGCATCATAAATAGGGAAGTCAGCATACAGGACAGCGCTCCTGGAGGGCAGTGATTCTTGTTCTATTCACATTCTATCTCCAGGACACAAGACAAACAGTGTGCCTGGCATGAAGTAAGCAATCTGACGTGTGTAAACTCAAGCACTTGATCCAGGAAGAATATATGAAAAGAGAACAATGGGTAGAAGACAAAATTCTAGAGACTAACTATTTAAGGAAAAATGGGAAAGGAGTCCACAGTAAGGCCAAAAGAACGGCCAGAAACTATAGTCAGAGGCTGCAGAAGGTGTGATGTACCGGAGGAGAAGGGAGCATGCCCGGCAGCCCAGGTGTCTGACAGGTGAGGGCGAACACTCTCCTGCGCTTGATGAGCAGGAGGTAACTGCTGAGCTGGGCAAGGGCACCTCTCATCGCAGAGTTAAGGGCGGCTCCTGGAAGACCAGGAGCTGAGGCATGAACAGGAGGTGAGGGGGAGCCAGGAGTGTAGACCCCAAACTCAAGCTGGGGAGGCTCCAAGAACCACCAGTCCTCCCTCCCCGTACACCCACCCCCAGGCTGCCCCTGCTCCCGGTCTCTACCCTCCCTCCTTCTTAGGGGTACCCTGGTGCTCATTTCAATGACTTGAGTAATCCACTCATCACATTATCTACTAAGTACCTACTGTGTGCACTGTCCCTGTGTGGGCAACAGGAGGCAAAAAATGGACAAGTGTCAGTGGCTATCCTGAAGAAATAAACAGGTCACAGAAGGAGACAGTCTGAACAAAGATCACAGTGCAACCCAGAAGACATCCTAAAGGGACACCAGGGCCCTATGAGGAGGGAGCATCCCAGTGGGCCTGAGTTTTAACAAAGCCCTCCTAGAGAAATACCTGAGCGGAGTCCTGAGGGATTCACAGGAATTTGCCAGGAACTGATCTGACTTGAATGAAAATATGTGTCAGCCAAATAGTTCTGCTCAAATTTCACAATTTCATGGAACTAATTGTGTTACTTTCACCAGTCAAGAAAAATGTTTACTTTCAATGACAGAAGCTGCTCAAACAATATACTGATGCTCCACAACCTGTGCCAACTTCACAGTTCAGCACAGAACATACATGTTAACCTCATGTCATGAAACTATGATCACAAACTAAGAATTAAGTTTTCCCGGAATGATTTAAATTCGAATTTATGCCTAAGAAAAGCAAAATGTAATGATTTTCCACACTTGCTTTCGAAAGATAAAAATAAAACTTTCTATGGAAGTGTGAAAATCAAGGCTGAGCTGGTGATGCCAGAATCCGCAGAGTGAATGAATGGCCCACAGAGAGACTGAGTAAATCAGATTTCAGGCTAAATTTCCAACACGGGGCCCCGGGGCAGCCCTATCCTCACATTCTGTCTGAACTGGCCAGGGCACAGGGCAGGTCTGCTCGTTTCACTTTAAACACCGCGCAACCCAAACTGGCTTAATTAAAGTAGAAATTTTAAACGGGAAAATGATTGCAATGTCTATATTTTAATGCTATAGATAACAGTGCAGCAAATTCATCTTATCAGTGACTAAAATTGTTTTGTAATATCTGTCTCATCACTGCCATAAACTCTCACAGTCCTACTTAAAATTCAGTTAATTTGCACCCATGTCAAAATGTTAGCTTAACCCTGAGATTTCTGAAAATCAAAAGCATGAAATACACAGATTATCTCTACCTCTCAAAAAGGCAGCAAATGCCTCTCAGTGAGAGTTCAGATAGGAAAACAGATACTTTCACAGTGCAAATTATTTAATTTTAACCTTCTCTCCTTATGGGCTATTATTAAATATTCATCCACAATCCAGATTCATCCCGCTGTGTACTCTTGCTATTTTTAACACTAAATATATACAACTGCAGGATCTCAACCCCTGCTTTTTACTACTATCTCCTTAAAGAAACCAAAAACCAAATCGAATCTAAGACTTTTCCAAAAAACATAATGGCCAAGTCACTTTCCATATTCACATCTAACCCAAAACAATTTCGTGTTTTTACCGTCTAACCTTCTATTGATAGATTCCAGGATATCACCATTTTCATTTCTCACATAAAATGTCTATATCAGAGACATCATCCACATTATGAATAGTTCTCAAATATTTCTCTAAATATGTCATTTCAAGCACATTTTTTCTTTCTAGATACCATTCCACAACTGCTGTGGTTTGAACTTAATTCCATAAATTGAGACAAGTGCTTAAAGAAAGAAACCCATAATGTATACAACCCATTTTCAAAGAGGTCCTGGGGAGGGCATAGCTTAAGTGGCAGAACACATGCTTAGCATGTACAAGGTCCAGGGTTCAATCCCCAGTACTGTCTCTAAAAATAAATAAATAAACATACTCCTCTCCCCCAAGAAAACTTAATAAATAAATAAATCACTCTTCAAAAAATATTTTTTAAAAAATATTAACTAGTCTAGGTTTACTCAGCTTCTAATTAACTTTATTACTCGGTAAGACTTTCATGTAACTCCTCCTTATTAAAAATGGCTTTTAAATATGTATGTACTTAGAGATGAACTCATGTAGGTACAAGCTATGCATCTCACACACACAAACATTTAGTTTTCTCTCTCACTAAATGCGAAAAAGAATACCAACCTCATGATTACAATGAAAATCAAATTAGTGGGAATTGAAATGATCTCAGAGCCACTAATAGTTCAAAGAAAACTGAAAGAACCCAACAATTCAACAATTACAGAATATGAGAATGAACCACAAAAATATCAACATAGTGGAACATACAGGGACATGGAAAAGTACATATGAAATAAAGTCAGACGTTGCAGAGTGATGTGCATGAATTACAGCTATGTGAAAACTCAGCTGATAATGATCAAGGCCAGCCACCGTGACCTGTAAGTAGTGACTGTCATATCATGAAGCAATCTATGTTGACTTTTCTGTGATGATGTCTAAATATAACTCTAAAATGCCTCTGTTTTTTCCCAGGCATCCTGCAACATTACTATGGCTTGCTGTGGGGTGGGGGTGGATGGGACACAGCTGTCCCGCGTTCCTCCTCCTCGCCCTCCCATCCCTGCACCCACACCCGCATTTGCAGCACAAACAAGCCGGAGGATGCTCCACTCTCCTCTTTGCTGGTCTAAAACCAGGCTCCCTCAAGCCTGGGTTCAAGGACCACAGAGATCCCCCTTCACCACACCCCAGTAACACTATCTGTGGGACCTGCTGGAATCTCTCCTATGCAGCTTGTAACCGACTTCTGAGTTGCCTTGTATCAATCTTTAACTCACTGTTTTTTTCATTTTTCATGTGTTATTTCTTACCTCCCAAGTACACTAAAATGGTGATGTCCACACTGCGCTTTTAACGTCCCACTTAGCATACAGCACGAATAGCTTAGATGATCATGGGGACTCAGTAACAGCCTGGGAATGAGGACTGGTCACATAGAGTGAAGTGTTTTCGAAAAAT